CATCTTGAATTTTGATCTGGTAGGCAGTATAGTTGCTTGCAGATGTATTTGATTGTCTTGGCTTTTTATAAGCTTTGTTAGTGTAGTTCTACAAAAGTGCTGTCTGATAGAACTGCACTGACAGGCTAGTTTTGCCTTCTTCTCATTAAGGTATGACATTTCTACAATCTCCTTGGAATGTCTCGGGTATTCTGTGAGATCTCCTTACTATGGGTGGTTGGGAATCACATTATTTCCCATCCCTATTGTAGTGATTCTTATCCTTTTCCTGTCCTCATGGAGTCTTATTCTACACATGCCCAGTTTGTATTCAGCCATAGACTCAAGGGACTCACCTTTAAACTTCTAGAGCTCCTTGTCTTCACAGCTCTCTCCTCTCTGGTATTCAGCCCTGCAAATTACATTAAAGGTGATATTGTTGTACACATCTGCAGATTTCAGAGGCCTCAACCTAACTGAACTCCATTCTTTTCTTATCTCCTCACTTTGTGGGACTGCTGTGCTTTGAAGGATTCTCTGCTTTATTTCTAGGTGTGGTGACTGCTTACAGGGGAAACCTGGACAGTCACGGGCCTCACCTTGGTTTTTCTCCCCTTCTCTCTGGGAACCAAGCCCTGTTGTGGTTTAACATCTAAAAACAGTGTTTCATATTAAAAGCATAGCTGTGTAATTGTTTATGATGGGAAAACTAGGCCAATACCAGTTACCGTATAATTTACGGAACTTTGTTTATATTTTAGTGGCCAAGATTTAGCTTACCTTTGATAATTTGAACATATTGCTTTTTCTGCCTTGAGCTCTTTTTCCTACCTTTTGTACCTGATAAACACTCATCATGTCAGAGTCAGATTCTGTCATTTTTTTCCTAGTAGTTTTCCTTCATGCTACCAAATCTAGGTTAGATGCCATACTTGCCATACTCATAACCCTGAACATTTGCTTGTAATTGTAATTACTTGTTGTATATTGTATCCCCAGGGCCTAACACAATGAGGATCTCAAAATCAATCTCTCACCCTTTCTCCATGCAGTCGTAGATGTGGAGATGAAATGTACTGAAGTGCTTTAAGTAAACGTTTTTGTGCTTCTTATTTGATTACTTTGGAGAGGGTGGCAACTATTGGCCAATGCCATTCTTATTCAGAAGTTTTCTTTTTAAATTTGCATATTTCTTCAGAGATTACTATTTTTGTTCTCTAATGTCTGTCATAAATATTTTTGTGTATACTTACCTACAAATAGTGGTCTGTTCATCATAATTTTAAAAGGGAAGTTTTTTCCCCCAATCTACAAATAGGTCTCATTAAAAAGTATTTCTCAGCTGGGTGCAGTGGTGCACGCCTGTAATCCCAGCAGCTCAGGAGGCTGAGGTGGGAGGATCAGGAGTTCAAAGCCAACCTCAGCAAAAGCGAGGTGCTAAACAACTCAGTGAGACCTTGCCTCTAAATAAAAGGGAATGTGGCTCAGTGGTCAAGTGCCCCTGAGTTCAATCCCTGGTACAAAAAAAAAAAAAAAAAAAGGATTAAAATAAAAACCTCTAACTACTTGTCATAGTAGCTTTGAATAAACCAATATGGTGAGGTCTTATGTGGTATGTGGAGGTATATGCACTGTCTCATTGAAGAGCCTTTAATATTAATAGTTTTCTTATAAAGACTTATTTGATTATTGAATTGAAGAAAATATATTTATGTTGTGATAATCTTATATCTTTTACTTATCAGAAAAGAATGTTTTTAGTTTCCATTTCATAGAGGTTTTGAGTAATTGCATTTTATTTTAATATTCCTAATAGAAAGATTTGTTGTGAATTTGGTTCAATTTTGCTTTAAGTTTAAAATTGAAATTGTCGGCACACATGAAATTATGAGCTGTCCTTATAGTACTGTAGAATCTTAGAACTAGCAGAGATCTTGGGAGTCATTTGTTCTAACTTGCCCCATAAGCTCCTTGATGGAGACTAGTTTGAGGCAGTTCTTTTCAGTTTTCATGGTTCTAATTGTAGAAAGTTACTAGAAACTGTAGTAAGTTCTTACAGTGGTAATGTTGGGTCAAATTCTATTTTCCATAAACAATTGAACATTAGTCTTACAGCTCTGTCTTCTATAATTTCAAAGAATTAAGCTGCTGCTTTTTATTTTGCCTTATAGCAGTTTAATACCTATTTTGTCTCTTCTTATTCTTTGCCTGAAGCATCTCAGTTGTAAATCTCATAGATAGTATTCCTATCTGCATTTTAAAATGTTCAGTATATATGCATCTTCAATAGTACTGTTCAGAACTGAATTCAGTGTTGTAAATGTGGCAGGTATTAAGGACAGTAGTGCATCCTTGGCTTGAATATTTAACTGACTTTCAGTGCCTTCTAAGATTACCTTCACCAATTGTCTCTTATTGACCTAGAATTTAAACATGCTGGCCTTTTTTTTTTTTTTTTAAAGAAATTAAAAAAACCTTAACAATTTAGCCAGGTGTGGTAATGTGTGCCTATAGTCCCAGCTACTATAGGAAGATCCCCTGAGCTCAGGACTTCAAAGCCAGCCAGGGCAACATAGCAAAACTGTGCCTCTTAAGAGTCTTAAGGCCTTTGAATTGAGCTAGCTGGGCATTACAAACCCTGTCTCTTAAAAAACAAGCAAAGAGGGGTTGGGGTTGTAGCTTAGTGGTAGAGCGCTTGTCTATCCTGGGTTCAATCCTCAGCACCACATAAAAATAAACAAAAATTGTGTCCATCTACAACTAAAAATTTTTTAAAAATCCAAATAAACAACAAAAACTTCAAATTTTAAAACCCATTTCTATTTTTCTATGTATACACAATTTATTTATGTCAAAATGTAGACAAAAGCTTTTTAGTTAATTTTTTAATTCAGCATACTGATTTATCCTTTATATTTTGTATGCATATTTGATATACTTTTGTCTAAGCTCCATGTTGGTGAATAAACTGTGGATCAGGACAGATCAAAAGAAAAATTCTGTTAGTTAACTCTAGATTGTTCTACTAGTTGGACATTAGGTACTTATCTCTTGGTATTGGTTGGGGCTCACATTGCTCTTTTTTTGTTCTTAAGCATGATACCAGAGACTTTGTAGCCTTGTTGCCGTTAAGGTATCCAAGCCTGTGACTTAGAGTACACCATTGTGTGCTCCTTTTCTATGTTCAACCTCTGCAGTTATGGGCTTTACACTATTGTATTTTTCCTTTTGGAAATAGTGTCAATATTTTCCAGTGTGTTTTATAACAATTTTTTATAGTTTTTAAGATATTATGAGCAGAGGTTTAACAAGCAGATCTTGTAAGTTCCTTGATATCATAGGTTGATGTTTTTCTGGATCAAAAGACTTGAATACTTGTGAAATGTCTAGGTGTTTTATTGCTTCCCAGGAGGAATCGCATACCTGTTTCCCTCAAGTATTGTGATACTGTATTATATACCAGAAATCTTAATTCACAGCTCTGGTTACCATATCTTTAAATTGTTTTTTTGTTTGATTTTTTGGATAAAGAAGCTTTGCTTTTTCCTCAGTTTTATAGTTCTTGAAATTCATACTGTTTGAAAAATTACAAACCCTGGTTTTTTAATAAAAGAAACAAACACAGACTTTTACTGTGATTTATTTATTATTCAAATGGCCTAGAATCAAAGTGATAAAAGTATAGTTGGGGGTTTTTACTATAGTGTTCACATTTTTTATCATAAATTTAGTTATAATTTTCTACAGACACTATATTTGTATAAAGAACTCTGTGATAGGCTATTTCTGTCCATTGGATTCCAAAATTATAGACACTGATGTCAATGCAGATGAGGTTCGCCTAATTTGGTCAAGAGAGGGACATGAGTCTCTATATAGGTAGTTAAAGGCCATTGCCAAGATTGACAGGTGTACTGTGGGTGGCAGAGTCCCAGGGATAAATTTGCTCTTGGATTACTTCTCTTAAGAAACAATGATCAAAGTCATACCTTTTTTCTATTGATCAAACCTAAAATAGGTTGGTTTTTAACTTAGTTTTTCAGATATTAGCCTTATAAACCCCAGAAAGATAATAAAGTTTTATACTTTGTTCTTGTAGTACAACTTTGTTTTGTAAAGTTTAACTGTAACCTATGCAGTAATTTTGCTAGGATAATCAACTACTTATTATCTTGCTGTATTTCACTAAGGATTTGAGACATTAATTAATACAAAAAAAGTTTATTAGTGTAAAAGAAGCAACTATTTGGCAACAGCCTTCGGGGTTTGTTTTTTTTTTTTATCTTACTGAAAATTAAGGAGCCCTATAACTTATGAAGATAAGTTAGTACTAAGTATGTCTCAAAATAAGAAATGGTTTTAAAGCCATTAGGTTCATGACATTCAAAAAGTTAAGCATACTACTTTAAGAAAAATTGTGTCATCTGAGATTTTTGTAATATTTGAGTAATGTAAATGTGTCATTAGCAATGGAAACTTTGTGATTTTAGTGTGAACTCTTTTAATTTATATAGAAAAATTTCTGATCTGAGAGCATTTTGTTTTGATTATTTCTGTATTACAGTGTCAGACATATAGTAGAAATTTGAGAACTAGATGCTGGGGAACCATCTTAGGGAGCCAGCCTGTTAGCTGGTATGGAAAATGAAAACTAAGAGCCTAGTCCTGCTAGGGGTCAGGAAAGGTTTCCCAGGCATTTAACTTGCATAGTGCAAGCTCCCCTCATGGACTGATGTGATTACAGTTAGGCTTGGAGTCGAGGTAAAGCTAGAGTGGTTAGGGCATTATCATTTTTAGATCTTAGATATTTTTAAAATTTGCTAAAATTTAAGGAAAGCCCACTCTGAGCTACCTATTCCTTCACAGATATGTTTAACCTCTATGAAGGGGAGGAAAAGAAGACACAGAGAGATGGTGATTTGCTCAGGGTCACTGAGCTCATTGCAACGAAGAAATAGACCTACACACTCATCTTCAAGCCCACTAGAGTTCTGAGATGGCAAAAATAATCTCAACAGAAATGGAGTGTAGCTCAGTGGAAGAGCACTTGCCTAGGAAGTACGAAGCCCTGGGTTCAATCCCCAGTACCACAAAATAAATCTCACCAGAACTTTGGGAACTGCCTTTCTTACTCTTTTATTTCTTCTCTGGATCTCAGTTTTAATTTCTTCCCTCTCTCCCTTTCAGTCCTTCTCTTTTAGACTAAAATTCAGATTCTTATGCTTACTCTTAGCCAAAAAGACATTTATAAAAATATCTTAAGTGTACAAAAAAAACAGCAATTGTATTTGTGACAGTATTTGAGCAACTGATTGGAAAGGAAGCATGAAGAGAAGGGAAGCTAAGCATGATAGGAGTGGGCTGATTTAGAGTGTGCAACACAGGCCCAAGTGGCAGAGAATGACCCTGAAGCCCTTATTATCCACTGGCTCTGGCTGCACAACCTCCTACAAATGAGTATTGGGCTAAGACACACTCTGCTGCTTTGTCCTGTTCCCAGGCATCTTTGGAGTTTGACTGCTGAAACCATAGTGGGCTAGGGAGAATACTCAAAGACCCCAACACTGACATGTCAACCTGGTCTCATGACAAAATGAAAACATTGATTGATGTAAGGATTAGCATATTAAAGTTTGTTAGTCCTGTAGCAAGAAGTGAAAAGTTTTCAATTGAGGAAAATTTTGATTTAGATATGTAAATTTTTTTATGCTTCAGGTTGACAGGTGTAGAATTCTTTTATTATCTTTGTACTGAGGATTGGATAATGAAATTAGCATGAGTATTTGAAATACTCAGGCTCTATTCAAATATTTTAGAATTATCATTTGTTTACTGTGGATATGCAAATGGTTTTTATCTCCTGATGGACTGCTGTCCATGACACAAGTCTCTCAGTCCCATGTGTGTAAGTTTAAGCTGCTCTCATCTCTCTCCTAGACCTCTGCAATGGAAGCTGAATTGCCCTAAAACACCTGCATTTACTGACTGAAGTAGTCTTTCTAAAATCAAGTCTGCTCAACTACTTCAGTAGGATGAAGACAGTACACCTTCATGAGGAGGCCTCTGGTGATTCCCAGAGGTCTCGCCTGGGTTCCCCACTGCTCCAGGCTTGTCTGGCCCTGGCCTCCTGTGCTCAGGTTGCCCTGGTCTTCTGTCTTTTCTACTTGCCTTCCTTGGTTTTGTCTCCTGGGCCCAGGCTCTTCTTTGGTCTGCAAGACCATTCTGACACTCTGAAAATAAGTTCCTCACCTCTTAACTAGGTCAGACCCAGACTTTGTTGGCAGTTTCTGTGAACCTCATAGCTCTTGTTAAAATTGTAATTTCCAGTTTGTTTAATTTGATTACTGTAAATTCTAACTAAACAAGGGAAGGAGCTTTTTACTTAGTGCTTTTTTTCAATGATTTCATCTTTGCCATTGGGTACACAGCCTGGCACATAGTAACAGCTTAGTAAATATGCTAAACCCTTGAATGAAAGTTCATAAAAAGCTTTTTCTCATCAATACTACCCAAGACTGTGTAATGAACTGCAGGCTTGTTAGGGGACAAAGCCATCTGCGTATCCACAGTACACAAATGATGATTCTAAAATATTAAAAAGAGACTGAATAGTTAGTAGCCGCCTACTACTATGGATGGTCATGAAGATGGGTGAGTAGAGGCATAGTCTGTGATTAGATGGCTCACTCAGTCATGAGAGTAACACTTATACCAAAAATGTTAAGATATTAATGAGATTGCCAAGTGGTTTTGAGAATAATTTTAGTTATTTGAAAACGCACTGATCTTTGTCAGTAAATCCTGAACAAGTGAATTATAATGTTAAGTAGCACAGAGAATATTTATGACAGTCTCTAACGTTCATGAAGTGATTCTAGCTCCAAAGGAAATAAAAAGTTGAAGAAATTCAATGTTAGAAGTTGGAAAGAGTAAAATACATTAATATCTTCAAATGCAATGATTATGTCTGTGAAACTGGCCTATGTGGAAAGAATGAGGAAATTTTTAGTCCTGTAAAGTATTTTTTGAAAGTTGTTTCAAGACATTCTCTTAGTATTAAGATTGTAGGAGTGTTTGGTGCTAGCCTGAGATCCCTTCTGTCTATATTTTGGGAGATTGTTAGGTCAGCTAGGGTTTTCCCCCCTCTTCCAGCATTACTTAAGCTGTTCTACTCTTGCACTGGGGTTGTGGCATTAAGCATGCCATGGATAAGAAGCCTGGCTGGGCAGTGCATTCTCAAAAGTCAGGTGCTTACTGTTGGAAGGCAGCTGCTTGAGGTTCAAGGCAGTTAGTGTCCCTCTCTTCTGCCTCGGGACAGCTGGTTGTTTATCAGACTCCTGAGAAGTCTTCCTTGCTCATTGCTCACTGGTAAAGGAGAGAGAGAGATTATGCAGCGGGCTTTTGATTGATTCAATGGGAATTACATTGATCTGGTGTCTGGCCTTGGTTCTTATAAAGTGGATCACTTCTAAGGTAGGCCATCTTCACTCTTAGGATTGTGATATCAACCATTAATGTGCATATTTGATAGGAATAAAACAGGTAATTTCTTCTCCTTTTGCCTCAGTTTCTATTTCTGTGATTAAGAGAGCCAGAGTTTTTTTCTGCAAAAGGCTTAAAATTACTGTTTGCAAATTTTATTCTTACCTCACTTTATTCCTCTTCAAGTTTTTTTTAAACTATGTTATTCCTGAGTATCAAAGTAGCTTTCTTCAGTTTCATTCCCTTAAAGAAGTTTTTATGATAAAAGAAGTTCAACTTTAAGTTTATAAAATAGAATAATTTAGGCTTTTGTCTATACATATTTTAAACATTTTTTTGGAGACTTGTTACTGATGTTTGACTATTCAACATATAATTATTGAGGATTTCTAAACAAAAATAAGCATTTTAGAAACTGAACTCACCCTCTGTCATATTCTCTTAAAGGTCTTTCTGCTGTTAAAACATATGCCTTAGCTATAATATATTGACAGAAGAGTAACTGTTTTTGAAGTTGAATTCTGAACATCAGGTTGCAGAAATTCTTGATGAAATGTTAGCTAGCTTGTTATTATTTAGACAAGAATAAAAAATAAGAAAATATTTAAGATTATACTATTTGAAATTATTTTTACTTTACTTCTAAAAAGATTATATCTTTCATCCATTATGACACTTTTTTCTTTCTGTATTAATAAATTGAAAAGTATTAACATAAAATTTAAAAAGCTATCACTATTTGCTGAGTAACACTTTGCTGAGCAACATAGAGCTTTTATAAAGTTAATTTTCTTTTTCAAGCAAGACTTTAATCCCTGCTGTGTAATATTCACATCTAAGCAAAAATATTTTAAGTGTGTTTCTTACTTGGAGTGGTCTTCTTTTCTTAGTGAATATGATTGAAGCATAGTATACTCAAATTAAAAATTCTGGTGTATTAAAAGTTAAACATGAATTTTATTGCATTGACAGTTATTTACTTGTTTTTAAAGGATTAGCTTGCCAGGTTATACAAGGAAGGTCAATTTCATGTTAATAATGCATTAGGTGAATTATGGATGTTTTTGGAGTCTGTACTTTTTAATGCATCACCAAAAATGTAGAAGAATGCTAATATTTTATTTTTTTTAAAAAAAGAATAGGAAGTAGATCAATGCAATATTTGAATTCTTTGGGCATTCAAACTACAATGTGTTTTTCTAGTACATGGAAGATTAGTATATTCTGAAAATGCTCATTTTGCCTTATCAGAGAAAACTGGTTTTAGAATTTTGGCTGTGCTTCATCTATTGCTTGTGTGATACTGTCTTTTGGTGTTGTTAGCAAACATTTTATTTAGTGCTACTGTGTTTAAGCCTTGTAGCCATTAGTTTACTAATCTGCAAAATGGGACTAATAAAGCCCACCTTATAGAGTTCCTGTGAGAATTAAATGTGATATTGTATGAAAGCACCAGCATCATTTTCTGTTGTTACTTTTACCATGTAAGAAAATACACTTGCTTTTGTGAGCTAGATCATATAGTGGAAAACTGAACAAAGTAAATACAATGTCACTTTAAATGTCTTTGCTGGGTTTTAAAACATCTATCTGTAAAAGTTATGTATTAATGAATACTAGGAACAATTTTAACTCCTTTTCTCATTTACCTTCAAATCAAATCTTTATGAAAGAATGGTTCACCCTGTTTCAAGGTGATCGAGTGTCTTACCAGAGCCCACAGAACGCCTATGAACATGGCAGTGAACCCTTCGGAACCTTAACGTTTAACTTGTTTATGCTGTGGCTGTCAGTTTCTGATTAGCTCAGCCTCGCCCATGCTTTGACCTGTACTAGTTTGCTTTACAAGCTGTTCCCAGAATGGCTAAATTAGAAGAGTCACGAGTAGAAGCCTCAGTTATTTCCATTCACTGGTGAGGTGAGGTGGGAATGTGGATGGTAGCCCAGAGTGCTTTGTGACTGATGTGTGACATAGGATTTTGATGAAATTTGTTTTACTATTTTTATTAAGAGTAAAAGTTTGCTAGTATACATTTTTTTGGTATTAACAATTGTATTTTGCCTTTTAAACACAGTATTTGACCACATATTATCAGCATTTCTGACAGCTTTTTGTTCATTTCATTTCAATTAAAAAGATTTAACCAATTTAAGGCTTCAGAGCAAGACCATCCTACTGATTTTTTTTAATGACAACAGAATGCATTTTGATTCCTTGTACACAATTACAACACAACTTTACATTTCTATGGTTGTACATGATGGAGCGTCACACCATATGTGCAGTCATACATGTACCGAGGGTAATGATGTTCATCTCATTCTACCATCTTTCGTGTCCCCATGCACCCTCCCTATCCTTGTTCCCCTTTGCCCAATCAAAGTTTCTCCATTTTTCCCATGCCTCCCCTCTCCGTGTTATGGATCAATGACCATCTTTAAAGAAATGTATGTTAAGTTTGTACAACAGTCTTGGTGTATAGAACACATATAATTTTTTAAAGCAATATGATTCTAACATGGAAGTAAAATTTTATTGTTCCATTTCATAATTTATAGTATATTTTTCCAAAATGGATTATTTTAGATCACTTAGCAAGATAACTTAATAATATTCATCTTAACTTCTCAGTCATATTCATTAACAAAAGAGGATGCTTGGATGTACGAAGCAAGCATGCTAAAGTGTTGTGCTTAAATGTGAATCTTACACACCAGGGATTAAAATCTTGCTTGAAAAAGAACATTAATGCATGATTTATCACTCAGGTTGTATTTGTTGATAGGGGTGTGTGTGTGTGTGTGTGTGTGTGTGTGTGTGTGTGTGTGTGTGTGTGTGTTTATACGTGTGCACACACAGTGCTGGGGATTGAACACAGTGGCCTTGCGGATGCTAAGCATGTGTTCTACAACTGAGCTGCATCCTTGGCCCTTACATACCTATTTTCAAAGTCTGTTCTTTTAAAAACATTTTTTTTAGTCTCATTTGGATTCATTTAGTAAAAACTGTTATGTACCTCAGTATACCTTTTAAGCTAAGTATTTGTTGACCTGTCTTAAGTTAGTATTTTATCATTAACTGAATAACTTGAATATTTGCACATCCCTAAGAAATTTGTTAATATATACTAAAAGTTAAATTCTACTTTCATTGCCAAGCTTTTGCTAAGATTAATATAGGTCTTAGCATCTTAATATCTAAATTAGTGATTATATGAGTCTAAAATCATTTACCTTAAAATAAATTTAGTATGCCACAGATAAATGATAATTTAGATTATTTATGTTCATTAGTTGGTTTTTGGTAGAATGCTGTTCTATTTTATAGAGAAATGGTGTCAGTTTTTTTCATTGTTCTCAATATGTGAAGTAATAAATGAGCGTTTGCCTTCCTAATTAGTGGTTATTTTAGGAAATACCCTTCCTATATTAAGAAGACTATTAGAGATAACAGCCTAAAATTTGTTTTCACAGGCTATTGAACTACATTGTCACTGGACATTACATGATTGATAGGTACTGATCATGACAAACTATTATATAATGATATCTGTAGTTTCCATAATATGTTTGAATTGATAGAAATATTTATTTCCATATATGCCCTGTTCAGGATGTTAGACTTACCCCCTATTATAACAGTATTTAGGGGAGGCCCATAATGTAATGAACTAAATATCTCATGAAGGGGATTGGAACAGCAGTCAGGAGTGGCTCCTTTTAGCATCAAGTGATGTTAGTGGCTGTACACTCTGGAATATACAGTTTCCCATGAAATAGTGCAGTGTCTTCCTTAGCTAGTCCCTTGTTGGGAGATGTGTCAAGCATGATGTCAGGGGTATATTCTGAATGACTTAGTCCCTTGGGATTTGAGGTCATGCTTTTTTCTTGTAGGTGATTTTAACTTTAAAATTCATCTGTTTTGTGAATATGTAAGAACTGTGTGTGCTACAAAATTCAAAAGGTACAAAGATATATACATTAGAAAGTCTTCCTCTTACCTCTCTATCCCTTAGTATCCTTGGAGAATATTGGTTTTGGTTGTTGGAATTTTATTTTTGTTTGAAATGTTTGTTTCTCTTACATTTCATGCACTGTTTTTCTTTTCCATGAAACCATGTAAAGGTTTAATTGAAATGTTCTGTTTCAAGGATATAACTTAAAGTTTTGGGGAGTTGTTTTGCATACTAGATTTAAGTGAGAACTTCAAATAGAGAAAACTTGATTTTTTTTTTCCCCCTTTGACATTTGTAGACATACAGTTAGTAAATTGCATGCTGGAGTTTGTTTCTTTTTTTTCTTTTTTTTGGTACCAGGTATTGAACCTGGGAGGCTCAACCACTGAGCCACATGCCCAGCCCTTTTTAATTTTTCATTTTGAGACAGAGTCTCGCTAAGCTCCTGAGGCTGGCTTCCAACTTGCGATCCTTCTGCCTTAGCCTCCCCAGCTGCTGGGATCACAGGTGTGCATCACTGCCCCTGACTGTGCTGGAGTTTTTTTCTGAGGGAAGAATATCATTCACCTTATAAATCAAAATGTGATCTTATGGCTTTAATGTGTATTTCTTTTGTTAATAAGGTTGAACATCTTTTCTTTTGGTTTAATGGTTTGTTATTTATTAAATGTTTAGTATTTTCTTCACATATTTTAAATCTTGTATTTATTTATTTACTTATTAATAATGTTAGTTGCAGATGGACACAATACCTTTATTTATTTTTATGTGGTGCTGAGGATTGAACCCAGGGCTCACATGTGTGAGGCAAGTGCTGTACCACTGAGCCACAACCCTAGCCCCTAAGTCTTATATTTAAAATATACAAAATCACAATACAATTTGTTTATGTTTTTTCTATTGACTATTTCCCCCATTTCTTTGCAGTGTCATACCACTTTTTATATTAATATTGCATAGTGCTGGTTTCATTTATTGCTGCTTTTTAAGAATTTTTAGATCTGTTAATTTATAGATTACTTTTGGTGTGCTAGGCACTGTGCTGAATATTGGGATTTGTTCTGTATCTGGATACAGAAATGAACAAAGTTCTTGCCTCCACAGAGCTTAGATTTTTAATAGGAAATTTGGTCCAATGTATCTTCCAGACTTTTAAAATATATGCATTTATATTGATCCTATTGTTAATTTATTCATCAATTTATTTATAAATTATTCATTTATTTACAAAAAACACATTATTAATTTATGTATCATGTATTTATTTAGAGTTTACTAAATGATAGGTTCTGCTTTAGGGTAAAAGGTATTCTTGGGGAGTAAGACAGAGAAGGCTCTTGCTTTTGTGGAGCTTCTCTTTTAGTAACAAGCAGCCAGGATAACATAAGCTAAGTGCCACACAGAGGACTGAGGAAAGGAGCTGTGGAACAGGCTGGCTCTCAGGGAGCTTTAGATTTGGTAGTCAGGGTATGCCCATCTGAAGAGATGACATTCATCTAAGCCACGAGAGACACAGGGACAGTGATTGCAATGCACCAGGATAGAGGAACAGGTCAAGTGCAAAGGTGAGACATTTGAGAAAAGTTGAGAAGAGCCAAGAAGGCCAGCATGGCCACATCACAGTGGTGAGAGAGGGGGCTAACAAGAGGACAGAGACGTGTGCAGAATACTAAAGGCTCTGGAAATCAGAACCTAGAGTTTAGAACTTACTCTAAGTGTGATGGGGAGCCATTGGAGGTTACTGAGCAGGAGCTGAAATGTTCCCTCTTGATTCTATGTGAAGAGAAGACTGGGGGCCAAGAGAAGGAGCTGGAAAAGCAGCAGATTGCTTTTCTCCTTCCTTTTCCATTTCATATTTCCTGCATGTTAGTCCCAAATATTTTTCACTTTGTACCTACTTTTATGGTAGTTCTTAGTTATATTGTATTGTGTTTGTCTTTCCCCTAACTAGAGAATTCCAGAGCAGATTCCATATCTAATTTCCTTTTGTATTATCAACTTCTCTTGCACAGTGTTTCACAAATAATAAATGCATGTTTTCTTAATTGTATTTTAGATTACATTTCATTGTTGTGTATTAAAATATATGCTTTTTGTTCCCCCCTAGCGGCGTGGAGCTATTTCTTATGACAGTTCTGATCAGACTGCACTGTACATTCGTATGCTAGGTAAGCACTAATTTATTTTGTATCAATGTTAGTTAAATTATCATGTTATTTGAGGTAGAGGTATCTTTCATTAGGTAGCTTTCATCACTGTTATAGCAGAAATTATTAATTTCACTGAAGTTTAGAATCTGGAAGCCAATATTGAATGTGATATGAATAAAAGAAAGCATTCTTCATAAAAAGTAGTATTATAGGGTTGCTTCATACTAAGAGATGATTGCCAACATGGATGAAGACGAGGCCATGAAATACCTGATCATATAGTCCTGTTGCTGGAAGTGTTTTGTTTTCAGTTGTCTGGCAAGAAAAACCATTTGTCTTCTTTTAGTCCTAGTGCTTAAATTTTTGATGTATTACTCAATTTTATAGGTAAATTACTTCGCTTCATTCATACACTCCACAATCCCTTCTTTTTAATTCATACTATCGAATATGTATATTCAGGTCCCAATAGGCAAATTTTCTCATTTTTTGTTAGAGGAATCTTCCTGTGCCTCTTCTCATCTCAGAATTCCTCCCTAACTTTAAGATACTGAGCACTGAGCCATCCTTATTTTTTAGCTACCTGTTTGTTCTTTGCTTCCTTTACAAATTGCTTTTCATACTCTTCAGACCAAATATTCCCCAAGGACCTCTTATTCTTTTTTCTCCTCTTTAATTTATCTTGTGCATCTCACCTGCCTCAATTCGGTTCTAAAGGCTAGGGTATATAGCTCTGTAGGAGAGCATTTGTCTAGCATGAGCAAGGTCCTGGGTTCAATCCCCACACCACCAAAACAAATTCTGTTCTCCTTTAGAATATACTTTTTTCCTCATGAATGTTCAGCTTTTTCCTCTTTACTATCTCCACTTCTAGAAACATGTTTAGGATTCTCCTATCCTTAAAGCAGAGTTTCAGACTCACATTTTCTTTAATTTTATGGACCATGTCCACATGGGTATGTTATGAATACCTCATGCTTAACACATCTGCAAATTGATTCTGTGTTCCACAGGTCTGTTTGGTGGTCTTTTGCCATCTCAGTAAATAAAACCCCATTCTCCCCATTGTCAAGTCAAAAACTTAAGAGTCATTTTTTATTTCTCTTTCTTACATACTCCACATCTAATTTATGAGCAAATCCTCTGGTCAGACACAAAATACATGCAGATCTCACCACCCCAGTATTGTTACCAGCCCAATCTAAACCATGGTTGTTGCCTCATCTCTTGAACTTGTTCCTTGACTGGCCTTCCTACATTCACTTGTGTGCCTCCACTATATTCTAGTCTGCAGCCAGAAAACCTTTTCAGACAAAGCTAAGTCATCTTACTTTTCTGTTCAGGATCCTCCAATGGTTTTCTGAGAGAACCAGCCACAGCTATTACAATGACCACAAAGGCCCAGTGTGATCTGGTCCTACTGCCTCTCTGACCTCACCTCCCATGAGTTCCCTCACTTACCTCTCTCCTGACATGCTGGTCTCTGCTTGTCTTGGAACATGCCAAGCATGCTGCTTTCCTAGAGTGTTTATACTTACTTTTCCTTATGCTCTGAAACCTCTCACTTCTGATAGTCTTGTGATGCACTGTCTTACTTCCCTCACGTCCCTGCTTGTTTTCAATGGGGACTTCCCTTCACATGTTTGAATCACTGCCCTCCCCACCATTTCTCTTTAGTGTTCTCCATGTAAAGTCTTCCATAGAATGAAATTGTGTATTTGCTTTATTATTTGTTTTATCCCATAAGATAAAGTTCATGAGGACAGGGAATTTCTGTATTTTGCTTACTAATATATGTGGAGTGCCAGATGTGAGGAGCACTTTTTTGGTCACACAGGAAAGAGGTGATTAGATCTTATGAGTTGGAGTTATCGGTAGATGGAAGTAAGTTAAGTGATGTTCTTACATAGAGAAACAAAGGGTAAAATTGCAAGAGCACAGGAGATGGGACTGAAGACTTGGGGTTAGGAGATTGAAGGTTGTAAAAATGTAATGGGAAGACTGCTGTCTTTGGAACCCACAGAGCTAGGTTTAAATCTTTACTCACTGTTTACATTAACTTTGTGGCAGTGAACATTGCTATTTAACTTCTCAAAGTCCAGTTTCTGCATCTATAAAATGTGGATGAAGATTCCTTTGGCTCTTTGACTAGGGAACTAAATAAAGCAATGTCTGTAAGACAAAAAGAGTGCCTTGTATATGGTTGGGATATAAATGTTTCTGTATAGAGAAATGGGTCTGTCCAAAAATCACATGAGTACATGTAGGAACAACGCTGAGCTTGTAAACACCAAAATTTAAGAACTAGCTAAAGACCTTGGGTTGAAACTGATTATGAGAAGAGAGAAAGAAGATTGATCAAATCAAATACATAGAGGAAAGTATAGTAACATTATAATTTATTGCACATTTGTGAAATTGGAAATTGCTTGAGAATAGGTAATGTATTTTCTATTTTTCATATCCCTTATAGCCCATGATATGGTGTGAGACATAGAGTGACTTTTAAAAGTTTGTTCTGAAGATTTTCTGTCTCCTGTAAAATAGATTTGGTTTCCCAGTGGCTTTTTTTTTTTTTTTTGTAAACTTCACATGAGTAGCAATGTATTAGATTGGATTATAATGCACCTGAGTCATCTTTCAGAAAACTAACTTTAAAATATAGATTATAAGAACTATTATTAGTGTAGGGGTACTCTAAAAAAAATTTTCCTTATCCAGACTTAAAACTTGGTGCTGAAAATTTGTGAACTCCTTCAAATAAATCAGCTCTTAACTTCTTGCTCCATATGAATCATTAATGGGATACTTCTTATGGATGTGATGCCATATGGGCCTCTTTTTGCATGTGGGAGCTTCTTCACAAATGACAGCCTTCTAAACTTACTTCTGCTCTTAATTCTATCCAGGAGATGTACGAGTAAGGAGCCGAGCAGGATTTGAATCAGAAAGAAGAGGTTCTCATCCATATATTGATTTTCGTATTTTTCACTGTAAGTGTTGGCAATCACAAATGTTTCTTTTAAACTTTCAAAACTAATTTAGGTTTTCATAATATTATGTGGTTTTCCAAGTGGAAATAATACAAAAACCAAAAATTATTTTGTGTTTGGAATTTTTTAAAAGCATTTAGGTCATAAGTGACACTATATTTCTGGATGTTAACAAATGCTTAACATTTGCTAATTGGAAAAGGGGGTATTAGGGGCTGGGGTTGTAGCTCAGTGATATAGTGCTCGCCTAGCATGTGCGAGATCCTGGGTTTGATCCTCTGTACCACATAAAAATAAATAAAATAAAGGTATTGTGTCCAACTACAATTAAAAAGTAAAATATTTAAAAAAAAAGAAAAGGGGGTATTAAAATATTAACACTGTTTTAGGGCTGGGGATTATAGCTCAAGTGGTAGAGTGCTTGCCTCACATGCACAAGGCCCTGGGTTCAATCCCTAGCACCCCCCCCCACACACACACACACACACTCAATATATATATATATATATATATATATATAAATAAACAAAAGTGTCTATATTTTAAATATTAAATATATATATTAAAATATAGACACTTTTGTTTTAGTTTCTCTTTTATAATTTAACTGTGAAATTACTTTAGGATATTCATTTCTTTTCAAATGTTTTTTAAGAAGTCATTTTTATTACAACTGATTTGTCTCTACTACTCTAAACAATGTTGCTATATGAATGATATTTTATAAAGGTATTTCAGTAGTTTAACAAGGTGTTACCATTTTATGTGAAAATGCACATCACCTTCAAACATCTTGATAAAATGCATATTTTAGAAGTAGAAATTCTGTGTGGGTCTATCCCATAATGTAGGAAAAGGGAAAAAACAGAACTTCTAAACCCCTTCAATATTAAGTACATTAAATCTGTTTCTGGAGGAGTTCCACTTTTGGTCATATTGGGTTAAGTAATTTGGATTAACACCCTAACTGAAAAAATGAGAAAAACTGGATAAAATATGAAAGACATGTATTCAATGTGTCTAAATATTAATAATAAGGCAGAAAGATGAGTCTGGCTTTTCAGACCACTCTTTCCTTGAGTAGCATGTGCTGATTCTGAGAAAGGTTGATAAGAAGCACAACAGAGCTTTCGATGGACACTTAAGGCTAGGGAAGCAAAAACAAGTATATAAAGTCCACCAAGGTTATGGGGTGGTTAGGTACTGGTAAACCCTTCATGCTTAGGTTGGAACCCCAAAGTGCTACCCACACGCTAGAAATAAATGCCAGCTTTGAACTATCTCAGTCAGATTATAGTTGATCCATGACTAATACTTTCTGCTTAATGAGGGAAAGAAACTTACTTGTCCCTCAAGGTTGCTAGCCTCAAACACAATCGTGAGAAATGGCCCAGGCTAAATATTCATTAGGACTTTGTATTCTTGGCACATCTCTTAAGAATGTGCATGGACACTTGGAACCTTGGTGAAGGATTACCTCTTCCACTAGTAATAAATGCCTCCAAAACTTATTGTCATAAAACAATCACCTTTTTTTATGCATATGACTCCAAGAATCAGGAATTCACTCAAATCTATCATATTTGACTTACCTTTGCTGGATGACTTCTTGCTCTTTAATTGGGAATGGCTGGAATGCCTATACTAGGTCCATATGCCTGGGGCCATGGTTCTCTTCATGTCATATCCTGGGGCTGGAACCTTCAGCATGGTTTCTGCACTCTTAGGTCTGGTGTCAGCACTAGGAAGGCTGGAATTGCTGGGGCTGACCAGCATTTCTCTTTCCATAAATGGCAATCTCAGGGTAGTTGGACTTCTTTTTGCCCGGTACTAGGGGAACCCAGGGCCTCACATACAATAGGCAAGTGCTCTACCAGTGAGCTGCAGCCCCAGTCCTTGTTTAAATTTTATTTTGAGACAAGGTCTCACCAAGTTGGCCAGGCTGGCTTTGAACTAGTGAGCTCCTGTCTGAGCCTTCCAAGTAGCTGGGATTAAAGGCTTGCAACACCATGCTTAACTATAATTAGACTTCTTACATGGGAGCTGCCTTTTCCCAGAGAAAGTATTTCAAGAGAAAGGAAGTGTAGGAAATTTGTTTCTGAAGGTCTGGGCCTGGACCCTGCAAAGCATTATGTTTCTGTATTTTCTTGATCAGCCATGTCACACAGCTTGCTCAGACTAATGGAGAGAGGATGTAGGCCACAGTTACCAAAGAGAATACAGTTGAAAGTTTTTAAATCTTCCTTCTTTAATCTGGCACAAAATTTGTTGATAAAGTAACTTAGGTTCTATAAGGAGAAGAGGTAGTCTCACAGAAACAGTCTTTGAGGAGACAATGGCTAAGAAGTCTTTTCAAAGTGATAAAAGACAGTAAGGCATAAACTTACAGACTGCGGTGGCGCATGCCTGTAAACCCATTGGTTCAGGAGGCTGAGATGGGGGGATCATAAATTCAAAGCCAGCCTCATCAACTTAGTAAGGCCCTAAGCAATTTAGCAAGACCCAGTCTCAAAATAAAATATAAAAAGGGCTGGAAATGTGGCTCAGTGGTTTAGTGCCCCTGGGTTCAATCCCTGGTACCAAAACAACAACAACAACAAGACATTAAGGCATAGATTTAAGAAGCACTATAAATCTCAAAAAGAGAAACATTAAAAGAAACCCACATTACATATTGTATACTGTTACATAGTATAACTGTAAATACTGAAGTAAAAAAGAAAATATTAAAGTTGTGAGAGAGAAAAAAGTCACCTTCAAAAGAGTGGTTATGAGATTGTCAGAAGCAGATTGTTTCATTTTCTTTTTTTCTTGGGGTCCTCTAACTTGAGCCACAGTGTATAGGGTGTATTGATTTCAGAGGTAACTTCATCCTCTGCATCCTAGGTGGTGGTGGTGGCTACACAGCTGTGTTGGTGGGGCAGGACTGAGGCAAGGTAGTTAATTTACAAAAGAACTGAAATGCTAAAAGACAAAGGAAAGATAGCTCTGCTGTGCTAGAAAAACTAAATAATTGTCAAACTAAAATTTTATCCACAAACTTCTACAGAGTAGAAAGAAAAGCACATACTTCATAATTATTATGTAAGGCCAGCAAGGTCTTTATATTAACTAACTGATGTGGATACAACAAGAACAGAAAATTACAGCCAAATCACTCATGGATATGCATAACATAGTTGAATTAAATCTGTAGTATATTAGAAGACTAACATATTTTGACCCAATTTGTGTTTTCTAGGATTATAAGGTTGGTTTAATATTGAAAAGTCAGTGTAATTTGGTACAACTTTATAGGAAACTGTAAGACATTATAGAGGAAAATTAAGTTGACCAAAATAGAGACATATACCATTGTTCATGATTCAGAAGACTAAATAGAAATGTCAGTTTTTCTCAAATTGACCTGTGTATAGGTTTAGTGAAATAATAATAAAACTCACTATTTTTTTCCTAATGGAATCAACAAGCTGATTCTAAAACTTATATATAAGATTGAAAAAGTCAAGAATAACTCAGACAATCCGGAAAAAGAGCTGTTATAGGATTTGCATCTCCTGGATATCAAAATTTATTATAACATATAATAACTAAATTAGGATGATATTAGTTAAAGGATTGAAAAATGGGAATAATGGCACTTTTTGGAGTCCAGAAACACATCCACACGTCTATGGTATTTATGACAAATGTGGTAATGTAGATAGAAGGTGATGATAGAAGGTGAACAGTGCTATCAGATGGATGTCATTATGGAGAATAATGAATCTGAATTCGTACCAGACATAAAAAAATCAAATTTTGATGCTTTAAGTTTGCCAAATTATGCTGATAAGTCAGATAAGATGAGGAATAAGAATTGATATAGCTATGGGAAGATGGTGGTAGGTAGGCCTGAGATAGGAGTGGATATAATTATGAGAGAATAGAAAGATAGGAATTAGAGATAGCAAGGACAGACAACTTTTTTTTAGAGACTTACATTGCAAAGGGGAAAGAAAGAGAGTGATGACGGGGGAAGTAGAATCACTGAAGCTTGAAATTAATAGCAAAGTTAGAACACAATTGAAGGCTGTTTAGCTTACAGGACAATTTGTAACTTTGAAATATTTATGTTTATGAGAAAGTATGAACTAAGTCAACTAAGTAGTCCAATCAAGTAGTAAGAAAAAGAATAACAAAGGATACCTAAGAATAGGTGAAGAAAGCAACTAGTAAAAATAATAAACAGAATTTGATGAATTAGAAAACTAAAATAAAAATAGAGCTACTAAATATTGAGTTTATAATAAATTGGTAATTAACTTAAGAAAGGATTTAATGAAGTTAAGATGCATATCCAAGAATTATAGGGAAAGGCCCAACAGATATAAAGAAAATTAAGGAATCAAAATAGTCTATTTAGCATAACTCTAAAAATACACTTAAATAGCTGTATGATCCAGAAAATTTTCTTGAAAGTTGTAGTTTATCTTATCAGAACTGAATGAAGATAATTCAGCTACATGATATCAACAATTGTCAAGATTTGTGGGGCACCTGTGAGGTTAAAACTGTCTTCATAATAATGCTAAGATGTTAATTTGCCTTTCATACTCTTATTCTCTCACACAGGTCTAGTGGAATTTTCTGAGGCTACAAAATGTGTGATATCTCACATTCGGTATAGTAGCAGATATGAGAAATAGCCATATATTGAAGAGATTTACAGAAATGTAAAATAGTGTCTTTCTTCCCTCCCTCACTTTTACTTATTTATTTTGATGAGCTCTTGCTCTGTTGCCCAGACTGGCTTGCCTAGAAACTCAGCTTCGTGGATCCTCCTGCCTTAGTTCCTGGAGGAGTTGGAACTGTAACAATAACAGGCATGTGCCATTGTGCCTGACTTTCATTAACTTTTTCTTTATTTTGAAAGACAGTTTTTTTAAAATTAAAAATTATTTTGTTTATATTAACATGTTATGGGCTTATTGTTATTTTTAAATGAAGTAATAAGATGT